CCTGAGAGGAGAACAGAGAAGGGATTGCTGCATGGTCATCCTCCTGGGGGTGATTTTTCACTTTCTGTCTCTCTGACTCACTTTGTTTCTCTAGTAAGCACACATGCCGTGTAGCAAAAATCTCTCTAAAAAATGCTAGGAATTTTTTTTCTGGATGTGCATGAAATAAGCAAACGCTGAGATAGAGCTGATGTAGATAATGCTATAATGACGGTGGCTCTGTTGAACAAGGGTGCATCATGTCACTTAACGGGATCCAGGAAGGCAGAGCAGCCAAGTCACCAGGCTTCCGCATGTCGGCGGCGTTTCTAATCTTCTGTATAACAGCAAATCTCTCTTCTGAGATCCCTCGGAAGAATGCATGATGGCAAAGCCTAGGTGTGACATTCATCTTCATGAGTGAGCTGTTCCGTCTCCTCTCCCGAGCGGAGATAAATGTCAGAAGAGATCAGCCGCCGTGTATGACACGGCCACTCTGCGCGTGTGACTTCCTCCCTTGCCCTTCAGCACCAAAATTACTTTAGAACGCGGCTGGGAGAGAATCCAAAAGGGTGTGAGGCTGTGTACGTACGCGGGAGAAGCTGACCATGGGGAAGTAAATAAAACAGAAACTGAGGCTGTCCTTCTGTTTTTATGAAAGGCATGGGAAAATGAATTTACCCATGTGTGTTCTTCTTTTTCAGGGTCATTTTTAAAATTTTCTAGTCCAGTTGTCTTCAAGGTAGGAGGGAAATGGAGAAGGGAGAGAAGGGGTAGGAGGGGCAGAGTGGCCAACTGAGCACAGGGAAAAATATTAGAATTTCTCCTCAAATCAGTCTATCTCTCTCTCTATCTAGAAGAGGTGCTTTTTCTTTCTTTCTTTCTTTTATTTTTTTATTTTTTTTTATTTTTTTGCTATTGGGCATGTGCATTCACCAGAGAGAAACAGAAAAAAGGAGAGAGAGTGAGAACTCAACCCCTAGGGTAGATGGCTCGGCTGCAGTCCCTTCTCTTCCATTTGCCTCTTGAGATTTGGGGCAATCACACACATGTGCCCCGTGTGTTTCAAGCTGCTGGGTTCAGGACTCAAACCAGGGTTAACCATGTGCGAGTCCAGCTCCTTAAGCACTATGCCATTTGCAGGTCCTTTTCCTTCAATGTATTATCATCAGGGTAATAGAAAGGAATTAAGCTGTCTAGAGTTTAATATGGGGACCGGCAGAGTTGCCCTTGTGCAGTCTAAGTCATACTAATGTGGTGAATAATTATACCACTAGATTATGTGTGGCAGTCTTATTGGGTCATTCCTATTGTATTCCAGGGTTAGGCTTTGAAAAATGCATTACATTCTCCATTGCAGTTTTCATACATCAGAGAGTTAAGTATGAACTTCTACCCAGGAGGTTTACCGAGAGAGAAGTGGGAATAGCTATCGCCCACCTCATTCTTTTGCTTTCAGTTTTTCCAGCAAAATATTTAAGTGTTTAGAGGCTTACTTTGGATGACTTACAAATTTGATTACCTAAATTAAACTAAAACTTGCAATATAAACGATTCATTTTTATTTTGTTAAGAATTATTTATTTAGGGACCAGCAGATGGTGTAATGGTTACATTGCTGGACTCTCACATAACCTACTGCAGTTCAAGTCCCAGACCCAGCAGCTTAAAAATTCACGCTGGGGATATGTACATGTGTGCCCAAAATCTTGAGAGGAGAATGGAGGAGAAGGGATTGCAACATGGCCATCCCTCCGGGGGGGATATTTCTCGCTTTCTGTCTCTGTCTCTGTCTCTGTGTCTCTCTCTTGCACTCTATAGCAAAATTCTTAAAAAAAAAAAAAAAAGGAAAAAGAGGTTTGGACTGCTTTCTAAGTGATGGCCACCCCACAAAGTAGTCGGGCCACCTCCTTAACTGCTCATCACTGCTGTCGAATCTGAGGGAAGTGCAAACCCCATTTCCTCTGAGCCTTGCTCCTTTCACTCCTCCATATATGTCCGCTAGTGCCATGGCTCACGGCTCTTCCCACAGTGAGCACCCTGCAACTTCTTAAAACCTGGCACGAATTTGGGAATTTAACAGCATAACAACAACAGAACTTCTCAGTCTTGAATGACGTACGGGACACAGGGAGATAATGAGGTCAAGTCCCCCCAAATTAAATAACATAACAGGGAGTAGAAAGGCAAGGATGAAGCAAAGAAATCTTCTAAGGTAGTTCAACGCCAGTATTGTAACGGGCAAACAGAGAGCACGGGATTGTATACAGTGTAAAGCCTTTTACAATGGCGAGAGGTGTTGTGCTTTTCAGGTGAATAGAGATTACACAAATCTATCCCGTAGTTAGATCACATTATTGGAAATATGTGAACATAATGCAGTGAATAATTGTAAAACAAACTACATGACAATGCCGCAATCTTATCCATTCATCTCTGCTGTATTCATGGCTAGAATATGAAAAATGAATTACATTATACATTCACGGTTTTCATCTTATCCCTCTGTTGCTCTTTAATCACATAACAATGGTCTTGTTAATGAACATAAAAGCTATTAACATTGGCTTTCCTTAGGCCAATACTCTGTTTTCAGTTGTGTTTCTTCCTTCTCTTTTTGGCAGAGATTTGGTCCTCTTAGGCCTGTTTCTTATTACCCAATTCCAAGAGAGTCACCCTCCAGGGAGAGCTAATCCCACCGGGAGAGGATGCAAAACATTATGTTTTCAAATCTCTTACTACCGGCTCCAATCCAGGTTTAAGAAGGATCTTTCATGTTTACTGAGGGTAACTACTTTCAGAGAAAATTCAAACTTATTCTTGATACATCAAGGTCCAAATTTAGATGTTTGTAATATTTTTCCCTTTTTCGAGAGATTTTTGCTCTAGAGTACATGCACTTGACAAAGAGAAAGAAAGCGAGAAATAACCCTCCAAGAAGATTGCCACACCATAATTCCTTCCCCTCCATTCTCTTCTCAGGATTTTGGGCACCTATGCACATGCACCTGGTGTGAGGTTCAAGCCACTACATCTGGGCCTCGAATTGCAGTCGACCATGTGCAAGCACAGTGCCTTAACCACTCTGCCCCTTGCTGGCCCTGATGTTTGTATATTTTTCCTTACACTTGTGTAAGGAAATTCTAAAATTCTTGCACCATAAAATGGTCCTGAGAGTTTTGAGAGAGGTGGGCCAGAGAATAGTTACCATTTAGGTAACTAGACTATCAATTAAGCTGTAATAGTGTGCCATTCTTGTAAGTAATCTATGAAAATGCTCTTTACAACAGATTCGTATCCTAATCCAGCAAAGACTGCCAACTCTTTTTTTCCCCAAGCTTTTTTTTTTTTTTTTTTTTTTTTTTAAGAGAGAGAGATTTTTGCTATAGGGCATGTGCACTCGCAGGAGAGACAGAGAGACAGAAAGTGAGAAATCATCTCCCAGGGGGAATGGTTGTGCCACAATCCTTTCTCCTCTCAGGATTTTGGGTATGTACACACATGTGCCTGGCATGAGTTTTAAGCCACCAGGTCCAGGACTCGAATCATAGTCAACTACATGGGGATCTGGTGACATAACCATTACGCCATCTGCTGGTCCCTAAAGAATTATTTTTTAATTTAATTTTGCTTATCATTATAATTATTGTTTTTAAATTTGCTATAGGACATATGCACTCACCAGAGAGAGAGAGAAAGTGAGAAAACAAGCTGTCAGACCTGGGACTCAAACCATGGTTGACCATGTAGGAGTTCAGCTCTCTGACCACCACACCACACACTGGCCCCTGTCAACTCTCTTATTACAGGCTGTTAGCCCATCTCTGTGTTTTGTACGCTGTCATTATCTCTGGTGAATTCTGCCTTTGTTGGTGATAGAATGACAAGATCCATGACCTTCTTTATCTACCAATACTTTTAACCTCACAGTTTCAAGAGGCACAAGGCTATATACCCTTTTCCTTTTTGATAGTAGTAACATCCCTAAACTCTAGAATACCTGATAATCAATTTTCAAGAGGTCTCTTGTAAACTCAGAGATAAGACTTACTTTATTCAAGAAAACTAACGCTAGCCAATGAGATTTTATAAGAAACTAGCAATGAGTTAACAACTACATACGTTCTACCTCTTCTTACAATTCTTATTTTTTTATGAACTTGATTTTATTTTTCATCTAAAGAAAATACACACATAAGCAATTCATGGGTTTAAATTCTACTTCTTTCATCAAAAGATATGGATAATTTAAATTTTATTACAACTTTGCAGGGTAAGCCAATGCAATTGGCTACTGATCAACAACTGAAGGTGTGTTCCCCCTTCACCTCAACAACGAAGTCATATATTTGCTCTCCTACGCTTTGGAAAATCAAGCACAGAGTGAATAAGAATGTGGCAAAACAGAGATCAGCAGTTGGAGTAGTAAGGTACTGGACTCCCATGTGGCTGATCCCAGTTTGAGTCCCCAATCCAGTGACTTTAAACACATGTTGGGTCCGTGCACATGCATGCTCAGAATATTGACAGGAAAAGAGAGAAGAAGGGGCTGTGATTTCTCTTTCTGTCTCTCTGTCTATCTCTAGCAAGTGTACATGCCCTACAGAAAAAAATCTCTCAAAAAAATTGAAAGAAAGAAAAGAAAGAAATCAACACAATATCTTAGACTTACTGTTCACAGGGTCCAGGGGAAACAAGAAAAATTAAACTCGATGAACTAATCACAGGGTGACTCTGCATGCCCAACTTCTAACATCCAACAATATCTCGACGTTTCAATGTGTACAAAGACAAATTATCCTAATTATTCTTTGCAAACTCCTAAGATATTTCTTGGGACCTACTGTGGGTATCATTTTACATGGTTACACCTTTGAAGGGAAGAAATGTGCCACTGGACAGAGACCGCAAGTACAAGAGACAAGCACAGACTGCCGATGTTTGTAAGATCAACATGGAGAAGCAAGAAACTGAGAGGGAACGATGGTACAGAAGAAAGGAAGCTAACTACACAAACTTACTTGTAATAGCAGATGTCATAGCCTGTCCGGACCCAGGTGGGCCTGCCGAGAAGAGCCTCCTTCACAGAGTACAGAGTTGGCTGCATCCCTGCATGAGATAAAAGCACAACTTAATCCAGAGGGAAAGGAAAAGGAAGAGTTGTGGTAGGTCGGGACCAGTAGATAGTGTAATGGCTATGTCGCTGAACTCCCATGTGGTCAACTCCAGTTTGAGTCCCAGACCCAGTGGCTTAAACTCACGCTGGGTGTGTGTGTATGTGCTCAAGATCCCGAAAGGAGAATGAAGGAGAAGGGATTGTGGCATGGCCATCTCCCTTGGGGGGTGATTTGTTGCTTTCTGTCTCTCTGTCTCTGCCTGTCTTTCTGAAGAGTGCACACGTCCTATATCAAATATCTCTCCAAAAATAAATAAATAAATAAAGTTGTGGTAAGCTAAAAAACAGCCCCAAAGATGCCCAGGTCTTCATTCCTAAAAAACAAATATTAACCAAAAAGGCCAAAGAGGCTTAGTAGATATGATGAAGTTAAGGGCCCAAATGTAATCACAAATGCCCACAGAAGATGGATAAAGAGGGAGGTTGTTATTTATTTATTTATTTATTTATTCATTTTGTAGAGGTTTTTGCTATAGGGCGCGTGCGCTCACCAGAAAGACAGAGACAGAGAGATAGAAAGCGAGAAATCACCCCCCAGGGAGGATGACCACGCTGCAATCTCTTCTCCTCCATTCTCCTCTCGGGATCTTGGGCACGCATGCACACGCGCCCAGCATGAGTTTAAGCCACCAGGTCCAGGACTCGAACCGCCATCGACTACGTGGGAGTCCAGCGACATAGCCATTATGCTAACTGCTGGTCCCGAGGGAGGTTGTTTTTTAAACAAAAACAAAACAAAACAAAACAAAAAAAAGAAAAGCAATGTGACTAACATAGAGAGAGATTTAAAGATGTCTTGTGACTGACTTTAAAGAGGGAGGGAGGAAGGAGCCAGGAGCCAAGGATTACAAGAAAGGTAGCTCTAGAAGCTGGGAGAATAAGAGGAAATGAATCTTTTTCTGGAACCTCCAGAGGGGAGACATCCCTCCCAACACCTTGACTTTAACCTAGAGAAATTGATTTTTTTTTTTTTTTAGTTTTGCTATAAGGCATGTGCACTCGCCAGAGAGGATAGCGAGGAAAAGAGAGAAATCATTACCCACGGGGGATAATCATGCCACAATCCCTTCTCCGTTCTCCCCTCACAATTTTGAGCATGAACACACATATGCTTGGTGTAATTTTCAAGTCCCAGGTCCAGGACTTGAATCACCCAGTTGGCCACGTGGGATCCAGCTGCCTTAACTTCTATGCCAGCATGGCCCTGTTTGCTTGCATTTAAATTTTGCCAAAAGGCATGTGTGCTCACCAGAGACAAAGAAAGAAAGAAAGAAAGCAAGAAAGAAAGCACACTCCATGGAGAAAGGTCTCATTGCAATCCTCTCCTCCATTTCTTCTTTCAGGGTATTGGGCATGCACACACATGTGCCCAGTGTGTATTTCAAGCCGCTAGGCCAGAGATTCAAATCACACAGTCAGTCATGTTGATCCAGCCACTTCAACCCCCACACCGTGGACAGACACAAGAAACTGATTTTAAACTTCAGGAGACCAGAAACTTAGGAGAATAAATTTGTCTTGTTTCAAACCACAAAGTTCATGACAATTTGTAACAGCAGCCACACAAAGTGAGACAAGAGTCAAGGTTCATACTATGTTTTCATACAATAGAGTCTTATATTCCTGTGCTCAGACCTAGGTACCTCCAGTCTTGGTCCACTTTTTCCAATGCTAACAAAGACACCTGAGGATGGGCAAATTCCAAAGAAATTGAGGTTTATAAACTCTTTTTTTTTTCTTTTTTTGGAGAGGTTTTTGCTATAGGGCACGTGCGCTCGCCAGAAAGACAGAGAGAGACAGAAAGAGAGAAATCATCCCCCCCCACCCCCCCGCAGAGGGGATGGTCACGCTGCAATCCCTTCTCCTTTGTTCTCCTCTCAGGATCTTGGGCTCACACACACATGCACCTGGCATGAGTTTAAGCCACCAGGTCCAGGACTCAAAACGTGGTCAACTACATGGGAGTCCAGCGACACAGCCATTATGCCAACTGCTGATCCCAGAATTTCCCTTTTTAAGAAATATTCCAGAAAAATATGTGCCTCTTGAATGTCTCTTCTAAAATGGCCACAAGTATTCAGGAAAATTAAATTCTTTCCAGAGTTTTCTGAAAGTGTATATTAATGTTGTCTAATTGGACGTGGCTGCTTTCCTGTCTTGTGACAAGTTAATCAGTTTGCTCCTATGGGATTTAGGAAATGGAAAGAAAGCATAATTGAGAGCACTCACTAACCTCAAAAAGTTGAAGGTGGGAGATAAGTGGTAGTTCAGTGGTAACACAATGGGACCCACCTGGGAAAGGTCCTGGGTTCATCTCTCAGGACCTCCCTGAGCATATGAGGTATATGCACACATGCCTACAATTTTAGCATGAAAACTCTATTGAGGGCAACTATCTCTCTCTGTCTCTGTCTCTCTTGCTCTTGGAAGAAATAAATAAACTTAAAAATAAAGTTCAAAATAGTGAAAGAATCAGGACACAGTGGAATGTTTTTTTGTTTTGTTTTGTTTTGTTTTTGTTTGTTTGTTTGTTTGGGTTTTTTTTAAGAGGTTTTTCACTATAGGGCGCGTGCACTCACCAAACAGTAAGAGAGAGACATAGAGACAGAAAGCGAGAAATCTCCCCCCAGGGGGAATGGCCATGCCACAATCCCTTCTCCATTCTCCTCTTGGGATCTTGGGCACGCATGCACACACGCCCGGCGTGAGTTTTAAACCACTGGGTCCAGGACGTGAACTGCGGTCGACTACGTGGGAGTCCAGCGACATAGCCATTACGCTAACTGCTGGTTCCCCAATAGTGGAATGTTTATAGATTCCCAACTTGGTCACTGCTGTGACATACCTAGCAACAAAGTACGTCAGTACAGCTTTCGATCCTCAGGAAAACCAAGCAGGCCTTTCAGTAAATCAAAGTGATATAATCCCTCATAGTATCCAGAAGCTGCTATCTCCCCAGAGTTCATACCGTAATTAAACTGGCTGTTGGGCTTCTCACAGTTGATTATGTTGAAGCGGTAAGAGACAGCAGGCTTCATACCGCTCACCTGGAAGTAGAACCACTGCTGGTGCTGACTGCCGTTTACGTCAGCATTGATCAATAGGTCATACTCAAACCTGCAACATCAGAAGGGAGATTGGAGGGTGATTAGAAAGTCTTTACAATAACTTTTTTTTGGAGAGACTTTTGCTATAGGGTGTGTGTATGAAATATTTTTGAAATGCAGGACTAGCAGGTGATGTAGTGGTTAAGACACTGGATCCCACATGGCCGACTCCATGGTTCAAGTCCAAGATCTGGCAGCCTGAAAAACCTACCAGGCACATGTGTGTGAATGCCTAAAATCTCAAGAGGAGAATGGAGAAGGGACTGTAATGTGGACATCTCCCCCATGGGGTAATTTCTCATTTTCCCTCTCTGTCTGTCTCTGGCAAGTGCAGACACGCTATGGTGAAAGAAAAACAAAGAAAAGAAAGGAAAGGAAAATTTTTTGGAAGGCCTCCATAGTGCATGCCCATTTCCATGACCTTTGTGAAGAACATGTATTGTAAATTCTGAGCTCTAGTAATGGTGAATAAGCAACCCTAAATGAAAGCTTGCACTGAGTGCCTACCATGTGTCATGTACTATGGAAAGAGCTTCATGTGTATCATGTAACACTCAAAAAATCCCTACGAAGCAGGTACTATTGTTATCCTTATTTCGTGGGTGAGAAAATAAAGGCATGGTGTTGACTGGGTAACCTGCCTAGTCTCCAAGTGGGAAAGAAGTGAGGTTTTCCCAGCCATTTGATTGCAAAATGTGGCCAACACACCACTAACAGTGCTGACCTGTGGTTTTCAGAAGTTCACGCCTCGAAAAACGGATTATATAGCTTGTCTTCTGGAATATGGAGAATATAGTTCACATTGCAATAGTAAAAAGAATTATGGCTAAGTGAGAACGGAATTCTGTTCTTCCATTTAAAAAAGAGTTAGAACTGGGGCCAGGAGGTGGCATAATGGTTAAGGCGCTAGACTCCCACCATGTGTGACCACGGTTCGAGCTCTGGACCTGCTGGCTTGAAAATTACTCTGAGTGTGTCCATGCCCAAAATCCCAGGAAGAGAATGGAGGAGAAGGACTGTGGCATGGCCATCCCCCTAGGGAGGTGATTTCTCACTTTCTCTCTCACTTCTCTATGTCTTTCAGGCAAGAGCATACACCCTATGGCAAAAACCATAAAAAAATAAAAATAAATAAAACATAACTCATTTTTATTTTTATTTCCTCTTTTAAAAACAATTTTTGTGTGTGGTTTATGCAACCCTAGTCTTTCTTTACTTGAAAAAGTTTTTCTACTAATAAAAGCTCATTAATAAGATCGCCAATGAGGTATGGCATTTGCATTCCCTGGAAGGAAGAATGGTCCTCAATGGGAAGCCCAAGATTTTTGCGACTAAGTATGTAGAGGTGAGAATGATAGACAAGGAGAAGTAAAAGGAACCCCAGTGCCCTTCTATGTGAACAGAATCAGTCTTGCCATCAGTAAAAGCATAAACATGCCAGTCATCAAAGTGCTCTCATACTCTTGTTTTTTACCAATTCCTTGGTACTTAATGCTACTGCATAACAGTTCACCTCTAGTGAAGAATTCACCTAGTTATGACATCAGCCAGTGCATTCCCTCGTAGAGTGCTCATAGAAGTTTAACACCTGCAGGACCCGCAGATGGCATAATGGTTACGTAGCTGGACTCCCATAGTCAACTACTGTTCAAGTATCAGACCTGGAGGCTTAAAACTCATGCTGGGTGTGTGTGTATGCATGCCCTAGAGGAGAATAGAGGAGAAAGAATCATGGTGTGTCTATCTATCCTGGGAGTGATTTCTCACTTTCTGTCTCTCTGTCTCTATTTCTCCAGCAAGAGCAAAAATCTATAGCAAAAATCTCTCTCAAAAAAAGAAAATTAACACCTGCTTCTCTGAGATGGAAAACTTGGATTTGGAGAGTCTGCCCATTTTTATGGTGTAAATACTCCTACCATGGCTGATTTCAAGCAACTGATGTGAGGTTACTGATCACAGACCGCGGGGAAAAAAGGTCATCACCTGCTTTTCTGAGCTGCCAGGAACTAACCCTTGTGGCTTTTCTCACTTACTCACGCACTTGGATGGCTTTTCGAAGATTTCCCGACTCAAACTTGGAGAAGAACCTTAAGCAACTGGCAGTGTCCTGCAAGGGCCTATAATGAAATAAAGAACATGTGAACATATGAACTCCTGCTATTCTTGGACAGCCTGACATTTCTTTTTTAAAATTATTTATAGTATGATTATTATTATTATTATTTTAAAATTTGTCATAGGGTACATACACTCACCAGAGGGTGAAAGAGAGAGAGAGATAAAGTGAAAAAGGAAGCCACCAGCTGCAGGACTCCAACTGCAGTTGGCCATGTAGGAGTCCAATGCCTTCACCATGCCATCCTCTAGCCCCAGCCCGACATTTCTTTTTCTATTTTTTTTTTGAGAGTTTTTTTTGCTATAGAGCACATACGCTCACCAGAAATACAGAGAGAGACAGAAAGTGAGAAGTCACCTCCCAGGAGGGATGGCCATGCCACAGTCCCTTCTCCTCCATTCTCCTCTTAGGGTCTTGGGCATGCATGCACATGCGCCGGTATGAGTTTAAGCCACCGGGTCAGAGACTTGAACCATGGTCAACCACATGGGAGTCTAGCAATGTGGCCATTCAACCACCTGCTGGTCTCAAACCTGACATTTCTTTAAGTTTTCTGCTATTGATCTTTAACCCAAACTTCCAGCATTCTGTTTTTAGAAGTAAGAACATATTACTAACATGAACCACTCTTATTCTTGGGTCATTAGCAGAATTCTCCATATGCCATTCCAACTCATTCTATGAATATCAATCTAGTCTCATTTCCTGGAAAACCACCTACCAGGACTCGTCTAAACTAAAAACGACTTTATTTATAATGTCTCTCGGCTGGATAAGTCTCCGGACATCTTCAAGTATCTTGATCCTGGAAAGGAAAAATCAGAAATATTTTAGGGTTGGCTTTCGTTGCCTAACCTACTCAACCTATGGTATCCTGGGACAGATCTTGAGAGTCCTCAGAAAAACACAAAAGAAAGAAGTTGGGTAATTCCATCCTTAAGCTGAAATAGTGCAAACAGTTTCTTTGTCTTCGTTATCCAGAAATAAAAACTGCACTCTGTAGTGGGACTCAGTGATATTAGATATTAGTTAGGGGATTCTTGGCTTGAAGGAGAGCTTTGTCAAGACATCTGGAGTAGGAGACTGACTTTTATGGATGTATGCTTCAAAGGGTCCTTTGCACTAGACAGTTTTAAGAAAGACTTAAGAACTAGTGACTGTTAGCGTGTTAAGGTTTGAGAAGTTCCAATAATCCTTTTTATTCTTGTGCCATTTTTATTCCAGGGGCTCTGTCTTCTCTAGAAAGCTAAGGTCAATCTTCTGTCTGTGGTATATCAATCTCTGGGAGATTTAAGTAAGAAAGAGAAAAGCAACTCAGGAGGTATTTTAGATTTCGTCCTTGGAAGTCTTTTTATTTGTATCTTTTAATTTTCTGGAGGGCATATGTGCTCACCAGTGAAAAGAGGGGAAGAAACCCACCCTTCCTGAGTAGGGCATAGTCATGTCACATTACTTCTGTATTTCTCTACTCTGCCAGGATTTGGGGCACACATGTACATACATCTGGCATGGTTTTCAAACCACCAGGTCCTGGATTTGAACCGCATGGTAGGTCACGTGGAATCTGGTCCTCTTAACCACCAGGCTATGGATCCACCTCTACTTCCTTAGATTTCTAATTCAGTTCATTGGGGTAGGCTGGGAAAAGGGTTAGGAGGAGGTGGATATGAGGCCTGGATTCAAAGGGAAGATGTCCTCTGTGAGGGGAGGGTGAAGCCCTGTGATGTGTCTCTCAGAAATTTGAACAGCAGGTGGCAAAGGGGTTATAGTGCTAGAATCCCACGTGACCAACCACTGTTTAAGTTCCAGACCCGGTGACTTGAAAATCCACACTGCATACATCTGCAAGCATGCCAAAAGTCTTAGGAAGAGAATGGAAGAGAAGCGATTGTAGTATGGCCATCCTCCATAGGGGAGGGGGGGAGGGGTGATTTCTCACTTTGTCTCACTGTCTCTCTCTGGTAAGTGCACACACCCTATGACAAAAACTTTAAAAAAAAAAAAAAGAAAGAAAAAAGAAACTCAAACATGACCTATAACTTATAGGGGGTAGGATCAGAGATTTTAGCCAGGAGCTTAAGTAGGAAAAGTTCTTGGGATCCAACATCAAGAGAACTGTTTGCTGATGACATGGATTATAAATTAATGCAACTCTCTGGTCTACTCACTGCTCCAGTGGCTTAGGACATGCATACTATTTTTTTTTTATTTTCAGGAAAAATAATTTTTTCCTTGGCTTTAGCAGTTTTCATTTTAATCTCATGCTGAGCCCAAGATAAAGCTCCTTTTCTGGCATTCTGGGAGTAATATATCACCCAGTGTTTCTGCCCTGGAGAATGTGACTTTTTCCATCCCCTCCAACACAAGCCAGGACCTATGAGGTTGGGCTGTGGAAATGGGGTACACTGCCTCCCCACTTTTGGCAAGAGATTAGATAACAATTTGCAGTAAACACAAGATACCAAATAATCACTTCTTGGTTTATCTCAGAACCTTCCTTTGAGAAAAGATGCCAGTGTTTTGAAAATCTAGGTGATATTTTCTTGCTGTAAGTATTTATAATTTGCAACAGATACGAGGTAAGGGATTCCATGAGAACCATCCAATGGGTTTTTTGTTAGGACTGCATAGCTACCACAACTCCGCACTTGATTCTGAAATGCTCTAGTAGAAAGACAAGGCTGTGCAATTCGCAAAAGTTTCCCCAAAGGGGAACATGCTCTTGACTGATGTTCCTTCTGACACCACTTATATAACCCATCTACCTACAAAAAATACTAAAGGAGGTGGGGGAGGTCTCAGGTCAGTAGTATCCTCACCTTTGGACTCCACACTTGCGTTCCAACATGGACTGGGAAGAGGAAGGCAGGTGTCCCCAGACATCAGGAAATGCCATCACCTTGAAGTCTGACACAGATCTGGTTCTTTTGGCTTTGGCCATATAAAGCTCGGGATCATGGAAAGGGATATTTTTTGGATGGGCCTGCAGAAGCTGACCTACTACATTGAGGATTTCTCTAGGACTAGTGGAATTGGGAAAAGGAACACTCAATGCACCAAAAATTGCATCAGCATCCCAAGCAGCCTCCTTCAGGGAAGTCTGAAAGTTGGGGATTTTGCATTCAGCAGAAACTATCCCAAGACCGTTGCAGTGTATGCTTTGGAGTGGGCTCATTAGAGGACTTTTTCTGGAGGCTAGATGCACGGTAGACTTCCCCATCTTCACCAGGCTCAGAAGGGAAGTCTGGACTGTGTCTTCTTTTCCTTGTACCCAGGAGCTTTGGTCCTTAAGCAAGCCATGCTGCCTTGAGGAAGTGGTAGATGGAATGTGGTGGTGATTGGCATACTGAGTCTCTTCAGAGTCCAAACCCTCTCCAAATTTAGACGCCAGTTCCTTTAAGGTTTAAAGTGGGAAAGAATATGTCAGTATTTCCCTCCAAATAGAGAAAATAATTTTATTCCTTTTCACATTCTCTGGGGACAAAAGTCAAGCATAAACCCTATGAACTAAGATATTCCTTCCAAAGTCAACCAAAACCAACCTCCAAGAATCACATAAATGATAGACTCAGGAAACTCACATGTGGGAGGGAATTTTGGTGGGGGTCTGGAACAATTTTAAACAATACATGAATGGGGATAAGCAGGTGACATGGTGGTTAAATGCTGAACTCCAACATGGCCAACCATGGTTCAAGTCCTGGACCTGATGGCTTGCTTTCTCACATTCCTTCTCTCTTCCTCTCTGTCTCTCTCTGGTGAGTGCATGTACCCTTTAACAAATTTTAAAGTAATAATACTAATAAATAAATAATTGTTTAAAATAAATAATATAACATAATCTTAGAGAAAAAATCACATGAATATGTTCTTTTTTTTTTTTTTTTTTGGAGAGGTTTTTGCTATAGGGCACCTGTGCTCACCAGAAAGACAGAGAGAAACAGAGAGACAGAAAGCGAGAAATCACCCCCCAGGGGTGATGGTCACACCGCAGTCCCTTCTCCTCCATTATCCTCTTGGGATCTTGGGCATGTTCTCACACGTGCCTGGCATGAGTTTAAGCCACTGGATCCAGGACTCGAACCATGGTTGACTATATGGGAGTCCAGGAACATAGCCTTTATGCCAACTGCTGGTCCCAATAGTGCCTTTCATTTGAGAATAATTTTTTTTTAATTTCTTCTCTATATACCACTGAAATTTTAGACCCTGAAACTTGTACCACTGACCACCTTCTGCCTTCTGGAAAAGAACAGATTCTATTCACCCCATTCTGTATGCAATTTAGCTTATACTGTTAGATAACAGCCCAACTCATGATTTATTCAGAGCCATCAGAAAATAATGGAGAGGACCAACAGATAGTGTAATAACTGGACTCCCATGTAGTTGATGGCAGTTCGAGTCCTGGACCCAGTAGCTTAAACTCACACCAGGCATGTGTGCGTGTATGTGCAAGATTCCAAGAGGACAATGGAGGAGAAGGGACTGCACCATGGCCATCCCCCTGGGGGGTGATTTCTCGCTTTCTGTCTCTCTAGTGAGCGCACAAAACAAAACAATAGAATGGAGATCTGGGGCATAGTGGTTAAGGGCACTGGACTGCCACATGGCTGACCGCAGTTAGAGTCCCGGACATGGCAGTTTGCTTTCTCACTTTCTCTCTCATTCTGTCTTTCTCTGATCAAATTAAATTAATAAATAAAGAAAAATGAAATAATTCTTTTTAAAAAAAGAAGAAAAGAATGGAGACCAAAAGGCAAGTCTAAAACTGACGGCAACAGCAGCGACAAGACACTGGAATGGCATCACTGGGCTAAGTTCTTGATTTGTTTCTACTAATAAAGCCTGGGGGCCAGCAGGCGGCATAGTGGTTAAGGTATTGGATTCTCCCATTGCAGGCTGTAGTTCAAGTCCCAGGCCTGACAGCCTGCTTTTGCTTTCTGTCTCTTTCTGGTCAAACTGAATAATAATAGTAGTAGTAGTAGTAGTAGTAATAGTAGTAAATGAAATTAAGTAAATATTTTTTATATATAGATATATTTGCTATAGTGTACATGTGCTCACTGGAGAGACAGAAAGACAAAAAGCAAGAAATCACCCCCAATGGGGGATGGTCATGCTGCAATTCCTTCTCCATTCTCCTCTCAGGATTTTGGGCAGCCATGCACATGCATCCAGCGTGAAGTTTTAAGCTGCTCAGTCCAGGACTCAAACTGAGGTCAACTACATGGGAGTCCAGTGATGTAATCAATACACCATCTCTTGGTCCCAGCAAAAGACTATTTAAAAGTAAAAAGAGGGGCCAGCAGACAGTGTAAAGGTTTATGTTGCTGGACTCCCACATGGCCAACCACAGTTCAAATCCTGGACCCAGCAGCTTAAAATTTCACGCTAGACCCATGTGCATGCATGCCCAAAATCCTGAGAGGAGAATGAAGAAGGGATTGTAGCATGGGCATCCCCCCCAGGGTAGAGGGGAACGATTTCTTGCTTTCTGTCTATCTCTTTTGGCGAGTGCATGTGCCCTATAGGGGGAAAAAAAATCTCAAAAATTAAAAAAAAGAAAGAATGAAAGCCTGGAATCAGGATACCCAAGCCTAGATGGCTATCAAAAAACCTGCTTTGACAAGAGAACACTTATATTATCGTGAATTCTCATTTGCTTTCTTAGTGTGTGTGGGCAGGGTACCTTGTACATCGGATAATAGGTCATGCTGTATACCTTCATTCTATTTTCATCCTCAGTGCAGGGTATCAGATCAAAGAATTCGTGCATGACTATCGTTTTTCACATTTTTGCTTACGCTTCTGCTGTTCTCTCAGAAATACCCCAGAAGCAGACTATAAATGATCAACAGTGCTTTCCATATGAACACCATTGTGTGGCCCTCCAGGCTCTACAACGACTCCATTATCCATGGCAAAGAAGCAGAACCATGATATATGTGATGTCCTACCTCAAACCTGCAGGAGAGCTCAAGACACATTGCCTTATATTGCATCAGCTCCTCCTCAGGTCGGTCAAGTCCAGGTTTGGAACTCAGCTTGTCCAGGTCTGTTTCCAAATCATCATCCTGCAATGAAATATTCAATAACGCTGATTATAATCAGAAAATCCTCCCTGAGTAACATCAAGACAACATACACATGTGTTTCATCAGCATCCTTTTTTTCAAGAATTATTTATTTTTAATTTAATTTATTATTTTTAAAATTTGCTATAGGGAATATGCACTCACCAGACAGAGAGACAGAGAGAGAGAAAGTGATAAAGCAAGCTGCCAGGTCCAGGACTCGAACCATGGTCAGCCATCTGGGAGTTCAGTTTCTCAACCACCACACCACCTGCAAGCTCAGTTTTGTCAATATCTTAGGACATGGTTTCCTTACCTCCTAATTATAACACTGGTTTATCCAATAGATAATATGATGAGTCACCCTCTAAGGGGTGATTTCTCACTTTCCCTCTATCCCTTTAAAAAAAGGAGAACACAACTTTCTTCACATTTATGTCAGTATTTATCAGCTTCCATCAGAAAAATGTAACAATTTTTAAAAAAGAAATGAACTACACAAACAATAAAACACAATATTAAAAAATTGACACCACTGTAATCGATATCATTATCATATTTGTACCCATTCATCTATCTACCTTTGCCACCTTGGTCCTTTGCTCTTTTCCCAAGTATTTAATGATGAACACATACTATCTTGGGTACTAAAGACTCAGGGATAATAAAACAGACAAAAGTCTATGGAATTTACCTTCTGGTAAGAAGATAGACACTAAATAAGAAAGTAAACAAAAGGATAAGGTAAGACCAGCAGATGACATAGCAGCTATGTTGCTGGACTCCCACATGGCTGACTGTGGTTCAAGTCCCGGACCCGGTGGCTTAAAACTCACGCCGGGTGCGTGTGCGTGCGTGCCCAAGATCCCGAGAGGAGAATGGAGGAGAAGGGATTGCGGCATGACCATCCCCCCTGGGGGGTGATTTCTCACTTTCCCTCCCACTGAATCTGTCTCTCTCTCTCTAGTGAGTATACGAGGTGTAAGGGAAAACCTCTAAAAAAAAAAAATGTAATTTCCAACAATGACATATCCTCTAAAAATGATGAAAAGGTGTGATATGATTGAGACTGAGACTGGTGTCTGGGAAGCTATTCAGATTCGATGATATGAGAAAGCCTTGATGGGAAGATAACTTTTTAAAAAGAATGATTTATTTTGGGGCGCTAGCAGATGGCCTAGCAGTTACGTCACTGGACTCCCACATGACCAACCGCAGTTCAATTCCCAGATCCAGTGGCTTGAAAATCATGCTGGATGTGTGTGTATATGTGCCCCAGATCCTGGGAGAGAAAGGAAGCGAAGGGTTTGTGGTGTGGCCATCCCCCAGTAGGCGATTTTTCACTTTCCCTCTCACTGTCTCAGTTTCTCTATCTCTCTCTCTCTGGTGAGTGCACATGCCCTAAGGCAAAAGCCTCTAAATAAGTTTATTTTATTTTACTTATTATTATTATCATTATTGTTATTAAATTTGCAAAAGAGCACACACACTCACCAGAGAGAGACAGAAAGGGAAAGTAGGTAAGCAATCCGCCAGATCTGGGACATGAACCTCAGTCAGCCATGTGGGAGTCCAACATCTTAACTATTATGCCACTCGCTGGCCCAGACCTTGGAAGTTTTGATTCAAAGCATAGAATCTGACTTTATACATTCAATACCCTTTACGGATATTTTTTTCTTTGCTTTTCTTTATTATTATTTATACATTCAATCACTATACATCATTTAGATTGTAAAGAGACTTTACCCAGCATGATATACACCTCAGTCCAGCCTAGTTGAGAAAACTGTACACATCCTCATTAACAGATAATAAATGATATCTGTGTCCCACAAATGTCTTACATATTTTCCCAAAAATTTCCTTTCCTATGTTCTTCCCCTCCCGCACTCTCCTTCCACTTTGTCTCTAGTGTCCATAGTAATCTTTAATGCCTTTATGTCCTCCAGTGTTTCAGTCTCTACAACACAGTGCAGACAGTTGGTATATGTTAAGTGGAGACATACAATGTCTCTCTTTCATAGTCTGACTTGTTTCACTCAGCAACAAATCTTCCATATTCGTCCACTTTTTATCAAATTCCAGGGCCTTGTGTTTTATGGCTGAATAGTATTCCATGGAGTATATGTGCCACACTTTTTCATTCCATTCATCCATTTGTGAACATTTGGGTTGGTTCCATGTCTTAGCAATTGTGAATAATGTTGCAATGAATACAGTTGTGCAAGCGTTTTTCCAACTGAGTGCTCTCCTATTCTTTGTGTAGATACCCAGGAGTGGAATTGTTGGATCATATGGTAGTTCTATTTGAAAGTCTCTGAGGAAGCTCCATATTGTTCTCTATTGTGACGGGCCAATTTACATTCCCACCATCAGTGTAGGAGTGTTCCACTTTCATCACATTCCCACCAGCACTTATCGTTTTTTGTTGTTGTTGTTGTTGTTTAATCTTTGCCATTCTGACTGCAGTTAGGTGGTATCTTGTTGTGGTTTTGATCTTCATTTCCCTTATGATGAGAAATGCTGAGAATTTTTTCATATGCTTTTTGGCTGTTCATATGTCTTCCTTAGAGATGTGTTTATGCAGCTCTCTTTCCCACTTTATAGAGATGTGTTTATGCAGCTCTCTTTCCCACCTTATAATTAATTGGGTTAATCATTTTCTTTCAGGTAAGCTGCTTGAGTTCTCTGTGTTTTCTGGTTATCAGTCCCTTATCTAAAGTACAGCTAACAAAAATTCTCTCCCATTCCGAGGGTTGTTGATTCACACTAATTATGGTGTCCTTTGCAGTGCAGAACTTTTTAATCTGATGTAATCTCACCTGTCTATTTGGGGGATTATTGCCTGTGCTTTGGGTGTCTTGCTTAAGAAGTCTTTGCCTACTCCAATGTCTCCCAGAGTTTCTACCGTGTTTTCTACCAGCAGTTTTATAGTTTGCGGTCTTAGTTTTAGATCTTTGATCCACTTTGAGTTGATTTTTGTTAATGGTGAGAGGAGTTCAGATTCATCTTTGTGCAGGTGGATACCCAGTTTTTCCAGCACTATTTGCTAAAGAGATTTTCCTTTTCCCACTGGATTGACTGATACACTTTGTCAAGGATCAGTTGGCTGTATGTTTTAGTGTTTATTTCTGGGGTCTCTACTCTGTTCCATTGATCTTCATGTCTATTTTTGTGCCAATACCATGCTTTGTAATATATTTTGGGGTCAGGGAGTGAGATGTCACCCACTCCACTCTTCTTGCACAGGATCTTTTATGATTCCAGACAAATTCTATGATTGTCTTTTCTATATCTGTGAAGAATGTCTCTTGTAATTTTAAAGGGATTGCATTAAATATGTAGATTAATTTTGGTAGAATTGCCATTTTAATTATATTAATTCTGTCAATCCAGGAACATGGGATGTCCTTCTACTTCTTTTTGTCCTTTTGGATTTCCTTTTTAAGGTTTTTATAGTTTTCCTTATAGAGGTCTTTGACTTCCTTGGTTAGTTTTATTCCTAGATATCTTATACTTCTTGCAGCTATGGTAAATGGGGTTACTTTTTTTTTTTTGAGAGAGAGATTTTCACTATAGGGCGCATGCATTCGCCAGACAGAGAGAGACAGAGAGACAGAAAGTGGGAAATCACCCTCCAGGGGGGATGGCCACGCCATAATCCCTTCTCCTCCATTCTCCTCTCGGGATCTTGGGCACGCATGCACACGTGCCCGGCATGAGTTTTAAGCCACCGGGTCCAGGATGCGAACCGGGGGCGACTATGTGGGAGTCCAGTGACATAGCCATTACGCTAACTGCTGGTCCCAATAGGGTTACTTTCTTCAGATCTGTCTTTATCTGTTTGTTGTTTGTATATAGAAATGCTATAGATTTTTCTAAGTTTATTTTGTATCCTGCCACTTTACTATATGTATTTATTACTTTGAGGAGTTTTGTGGTTTTTTTTTTTTTTCCCCTAAGAGTTTGGTCCCAAATAGTAGCTAAGATTTTCAGGTCAGAAAACCACAGGTTAAACACTTGGGCCAATTCTATGACGAGAAATTAAACACGCCTAGCTTCCCTGCCTGTGGGAGCAAAGGCTGCCAGGCTTACCGAAGAAAAACCAGTTCCCTGGAGCTTGACTTTCCTTGCTGCTACCATCACCCTAGAATCAATCCTCTAATCCCCTACGCCTCTATTTCTCTGTAACTCATAATCACACACTGACTTATCTTCTCCTTGGCGTGAAGGCTTTTGATGAATAGTTTCCAGGCTTTCTCCAATTTCTCTAATGTCTCTTTCCCAGCTGGTTTGTGTATTTGTTGGGGTCCCCTCCACTCCAACTCACCACTCTCTGCAGAGTGGGCATAAGGAGAATGTCCAAAAGCCCTCCCTCATTTGCCATGTGTAGTTGAGCCACATACCTTGCTCTTCCACATCAGATTCAAGGGGTGACAGACACTCAGCATCAGACATTCAGTGATCAAAGAGCCAGTGAGAGGGGAGGGGGAAATGGCATTGATGAATGACTGCCAAAGCCCAGTATTATTCAAATAAATCAGCACATACTCTGGAGGCCAGGACTGCCAAGGCACAGCAAAGAACCAATTTGCTACTGATGACTTCAGAAATGATTCTGTTTATCAACAAAACCCCGAGAACACCAGACTGTCAACAGGAGTCTACGACTAGAGAAGAAGTTAAGAGGTAGTCCTGGACCTTCGCTATTACGGTCAGTAAGGTGAGTGATTACCATGATAGAGAAGTCAAAAGTCTCTTTCTTTCTAGGTAGAAGAGAAAGGGGGAGGTAGAAACAGAGGAAGGATGGTAGTTTATCAAAACGTTTAGGTTTTCTTTTCTTTTTCTTCTTTTTCTTTTTTTTTTTTTTTTTTGGAGGGAGAGATTTCTCTAGGGCATGTATGCTCACTAGTAAGAAAGAGAGAGGGGAGGAGAGAGAGAGAGAGAGAAAACACTCCCTAGGAATGGCCACACCATAATCCCTTTCCCCATTCTCTTTGTACGTGTTTTTCAAACTGCTGGGTCCAGGACTTGAACCATATAGGTGGCCATGAGGGATCCAGCTGCCTTAACCACCATGCAATCTGGGTAGCCCAAGATCTTGTTTTCTTTGTTTTGTTTTGATTTGGTTCCTGTCAGAAGGTATGTGTGCTTGCCACAGAGACAGGGAGAAAGTGATAGCACTCCCACTGGGGTGTGGTCACTTGTTAGTCTCTTTTCCTCCATTTCTCCATCCTGTTGGATTTAGGGCACGCAAGCACATGCTCTAGGGTGCTTTTCTAGCCACTGGGGTCATGAGATTCCAACTGCAGTTGGCCATGTAGGAGCCGTTTAGCCACTGGGGTCTTGAGATTCCAACTGTAGTTGGCCATGTAGGAGCCAGCTCCCTTAATCATTAGGCTATAGGGCTGGCTTAAGAATTTTTTTTTTAATTCATGTTTTATCCCAGAAATATCCTAAAAGGTAGTGTTTACTTCCAACTCTCCTATTACAGATGACACAGTTAAGAAACTATAACTTGAAGGAACTTGTCGACGTTCATATGCATCAACACAAATGAAGCTGGCGTTATCACTCAGACAAATCATTATTCAAGATCAGTGTTTCTCAACCTGAGTTTGGCAATTTCTGGGGATATTTGTGGTTCATGATCGGGGGAAAATGAGAGGTAAATGCTACTGTCATTTAATGAGTAAAGGGCAGGGATTTTGTTACTCAGTCCTCGATGCTCATGACTGCCACCCACAGCCAAGAAGTACCCAGTCAAAACGCCAATGTTCTAAGGTTCAGAAACCCAGTTGTAGAAAAGCAGTCAGTGCACCATGACCCAGTGCTTGTTTTTGTAAATGAAGTTTTACTGGAACCTAGCCATGTCCATCCATTATGCAATGTCTACGGGTGTTACTGTGCTACAGCAGTAAAGTCAGGTAGTCAGGTAGTTGAGCCTAAAATATCTACTCTCTGACCTTTTACAGAAAGTTTGGTGACTTTTGCTCTATAGCAGAGGCCATTATGGGACAGGGACCAAGGGGCACCACTCACAATAGGTCAGGGTGAGCACTATCACATATAAAATAGAGTACTTCATATGGATGCTCATAGAAATGGAACTGCACAAAGCAGCAGCCCTCTGCTCTGTAATAGGAATAGTGACTTATGGGGCTAACAGGTGGTGTGGTGGCTAAAGCGCTGGACACCCACATGGCCAACTATGGCTCAAGTCCCAGACCCAGTGGCCTGAATATCACACTGCGGCGTGTGCATGTATGCCCAAAATCCTAAGAAGAGGAAGAAGGGATTGTGGCATGGTCATCCCTCATGGGGGGGAGGGGTGATTTCTCACTTTTCCTCTCACTATCTGTCACTCTCTCTCTGTCTCTCTCCTGCAAGTGCACGTGCCCTGTGGCAAAAACCTTAAGAAAAAAAGACAAGTCAGATTTACTAGAAAAAGCTCCCTAAAATATCTTCCCAAGATTGCATATGTACTTATTAAGCATACCAGCCCTAAACATCAAGTGTCTACCTAACACCGATCATGTTGGAGTATTGATGTCTGTTTTTTCTTTTTTCATACAGAGGTTTTTGCTATAGGGCATATGCACTTGCAAGAGAGACAGAAAACAAGACACCTGACAGAGGGGATGACCACGCCACAATCCCTTCTCCTCCATTCTCCTCTTGGGATTTTGAGCATGCACCCACACATGCCCAGCATGAGTTTTAAGCCATTGGGTCCAGAACTCAAACCACAGTCGACTACATGGGAGGCCAGTGATGAAACCATTTCGCCATCTGCTGGTCCCAAGTATTAGTGTCTTAGTAGTGGACAGCTGGGGTCAGCAGGTGGTATAGTGGTTAAGACACTGGACTTAACCACCAACCGTGGTTCAAGTCTCGGATCCATGGGCTTGAAACTCATGCCAGATGCATATGCATGAGTGTCCAAAATCCCAGGAGGAGAATGGAGGAGAAGGAATCAGGGCATGACCAACCCCACAGGGGGTGATTTCTCACTTTCCCTCTCACTGTCTCTCTCTGTCTCTCTGGTGAGCACACATGCCCTATGGCGAAAACCTTCAAAAAAAAAAAATGTGGATAGCCTCTAACTTCACAACAAACCACTGCGCTAGCCCACCAGGGTGAAAACAGCACCCCTGAAATCAGTACTGGTAGTTATCATTTACTGAGCATCACTATTGCTGGAGTGACAGGAGCAAAGTAACTTCTAAAATGTTCTCTGGGCGTAGGCCAGCATAGGGTGTGCTCTTTTCCTAGGAAGGATGTGAAATGGAGATTGTGGGAAAGGCTAGGGCACCTACTTCCTCTTTCACGTCTTCAGAATCTGAGTCTTTGTCCACCTCTTCGTCACCATCATCTTCAAAATCCTCTGGGTAGAGAAGGAGAGATGAAATGAATGAGGCTTCCAATTTGCCTTGGATTTCTACCCTCACCAAGCAGTGGTTAGTACTATTTCTTACAAAGAAAAAATCCTAGGGGTCAGCAGGTGGCATAGTGGTTAAGGTACTGGACTCTCACATGGCCGACTATGGTTTGAGTCCCGGGCCTGGTGGCTTGCTCTTTCACTTTCCCTCTCTCTCTTTGCCTTTCTGGTGAACATGCATGCCCTATTGCAAATTTAAAATAATAATAATAAATTAAATAAAACATCATTTTAAGGTTGTTTAAAAAAAATAAGGGGACCATTATTAAGTACACATATCCCCCCACATTCCCATGCCTACAGGCACGCATCAAAGGTGTGCATAACAGGCACTAGGGGCACACCCTCACGAAATCTAAACAGTTGCCCTACCCTGAATGCAAAATGAATGCAGAATGAAAAAATGCACAGTCACCCCTCCAGATTTTCCTATTCAAATAAAAAGTACTTAAACAACTAACATTGCCAAAGTTTAGATACCATAAGCATTTATTATAACTTAGATTATCACCTTGGCTAAGTTCCTGATTGTTAAGTGAAGGATCTTCTTTAAAGCAAAAGCCCATACAAAGAATCCAGTACCAGGCTGGCCTGTAATACAGTGGGTTAAGCACTGTGCATGGGAAACAGGATCTCACATGGCTGATGGCAGTTCAAATACCAGTGCTGGAAGTATGAAAACATGCAGGACCCATGCCCTTCCATGTTCCAAGTCCTTACACCATGGAGAAATGAGGAGAAAATGATAGTGGTGACAATCACCATTGCAGGGTATGTTTTCTCTCTCTGGTAAGTGTACATACCTTCTGACGATTAAAAAAAAAAGAAGAAGTTGGGCCAGCAGGTGGCATAGCAGTTAAGGCACTGGACTTCCACCTGGCTGGCCACAGTTGGAGTACCAGACCCGGTGGCTTAAAACTCACTCCAGGCACATATACACGCATGCCCAAGATTCCAAGAGGAGAATGGAGGAGAAGGGATTGTGGCATGGCCATCCTTCTGAGGGGGTGGTCTCTTACTTTCTGTCTCTCTGCCTCTTTCTGTCTCTCCAGTGAGCCTCCATACCTTATAGCGAAAATCCCTTAAAATAAAATTTAAAAAATAAAATCCAGAGCAAAGTGGTATCTATGGAAAATCTGTTTCATGGTAAGAAGATCAAGTTGAAAAGCAATAGGATCTTTTGACAACAAGATCTTCTTGGAGATTAAATACTCATACCTTCAAATATTCCAATTTGAATAGCCTGGGGTTGTAAGCAGCAAGTGTTTTATTTCCGTCGTATCCTTAGGGCGAAATAATTCCACAACTAGTCAGCAGGGTGGAGAGACTCCGTCATGGAATTGTGAATAAAGTTTTACTTTTTAAATAGGTGAGATGACTGTACAGGCACTTAAAAGCCACCAGGCAAAGTTAAAAATTAAGGATAAGGGGACATCAGGTCATGTGGTGGTTAAGGTGCTGGACTCCCACATGGCCAGCTGCAGTTCGAGTACTGGACCTGGTGATTTAAAACTCACACCAGGCACATATGTATGTGTGCCCAAAATCCCAAGAGGAAAATGGAGGAGAAGGGATTGTGGCATGGCCATCCAGTGTGAGGAGTGGTTTCTCACTTTTTCTATCTCTGTCTCTTTGTCTGTGTCTCCAGTGAGTGCACATGACCTATAGCAGAAACATCTCTAAAAAATATTTAAAATTAAGGACCAGGGGCCTGCAGATGGAATGGTGGTTAAGGCACTGGATTCCCACATGGCCAACTGCAGTTCGAGTCCCAAACCTGGCAGCTTGCTTTCTCATTTCCCCCTTTCTTTATCTATCTGGGCAAATTTTTTTAAACAAATAATAATGATGAAGAAAACTAATTCTTTTTTGTTTGTTTGTTTGAGAGGTTTTTGCTATAGGCCATGTGCACTTGCCAGAAAGACAGAGAGACAGGGAGACACACCATAGTCCCTTCTCCATTCTCCCCTCAGGATCTTGGGCACACACGCACTTGTGTCTGGCATGAGTTTAAGCCACCAGGTCTGGGACTTGAACCATCATCGACTACATGGGAGTCCAGCGACACAGCCATTATACCAACTGCTGGTCCCAAAAACTAATTCTTTAAGAAGAAATTAAGGACAAAATAAAGGTGCTTGGTATTTGGTCACCTTGTTATGAAGAAAGTGCTTTTCTAATACATCTCTAATTAGCTAATTAGACAATCATAGGTGACCTGCAAAACAACGGATTCTACTTTCATCCACATTCCTCTGAAATACTGCCAAAGTGCAAAAACTCAGTTACTCACTTATTTTACCTTCAGTGAGAACACAGGGAGCTTCAGAGGTGATGCTCTCAGGGACCGGGCAGGAATAGGCGCTGCTGGCTGTGGCCAAGGGAAGTGGACTCTTAGGGTGGCACTGTCTCAGGATCTGCAGCATGACTGAGATGACAGGCTCTGCGTTCTTGTCATCCAAGCAGTTCTGGGGAAAAGGAAGAGCATGTCAGGCACTGACATCTGGGTACAGTCCCCTTGCTGTGGCCATCTTTCAGAGAAGGAAGGATCTATACTCTCAATGGATAGTCAACAGCCTTGATGGAAAATGTAAAAGAAAGAAAGAAAGAAAGAAAGAAAGAAAGAAAGAAAGAAAGAAAGAAAGAAAGAAAGAAAGAAAGAAAGAAAGAAAGAAAGAAAGAAAGAGAGAAAGTTAGTTAAAGGAATTATTTATGTAGGGGCCAACAGATGGCATAGTGATTATATCACTGGACTCCCACATGGCTGAACATGCTTAGAGTCCCAGATCCAGTGGCTGGGAACTCACACCAGACAAGTGTGTGTGTGTGCCCAATGTCCTAGAGGAGGATGGAGGAGAAGGGACTGTGGTGTGACCATACTCCTAGGGGATGAGATTTCATTTTCACTCTCTCTGTCTCTCTCTCTCTCTGGCAAGTGCACACATCCTAAGGCAAAAAGCTTTTAAAGATAATAATCTATTAAATTTAATTAATTAATTAATTTACTATAGTGCATACACACTTACCAGAGAGAGAGTGAAGGTGAGAAAGTAGGCCACCAGATCTGGGACTCAAACCACCGCCAACAATGTAGGAGTCCAGCGCTTTAATCACCATATCACCTGCTGGCTCCAAGAACGCAAAATCTTAATGTTCCCATGTAGAATTTTGTCTATGTAAAAATCTATGTTTATTTCCTTTCTCTTTCACATCTTAAATGTTATCTGAATGAAGCTAGTCTCAAATCAATTTAAAATTCCTCCAAGGGGTGCCACAGTGGGGCATTGTTCAAGATGGTGGGAAGAAGAGAAGGTGGCATCTTCCTCTATCCATCCATGTGTCATAATGAATCACTGCCTAAGTTAGAGAACGAGCAGCTGAATTGATGAAAGTCTTACTCTCCTCTTTGAGATGTTATCTGAAGAGTGAAATATCAAGGCAAAAGATAAAATTTGAGATCAGAAAAAAAAAAGACTAAGTGAATCCCAAGTATTAAATCAAATAACATATACCTCTTCTCAAAGCCCACAGTGTTGATCCCCCTGCTACCTGCCCAAAGCAAAGAAAAATTGGATTTGCAGATGTAACATTTTGATACTGATAGAACATGACAAGACCCTTCTTTTCAGACACGGTGAAAAATGTAAGAACAAGTTTACTAAATTGAGAGAGAGAGGGACTTGGGTAGAGTTCAGTATCTCTGGAAAAAAAAAACCCACATCGTTTTCGTTTTCTACAGTATCTTATGAAATGTTTTATCTACTAACTTGGAACAGAAATTGGACTAGGGCAAACTTTCAGTTTAATGTTTCTGAAGGGCTCAGGAATATCAACGTCCTGAGGTCAGTAAGTCATAGGCATGGGGGCAGTGAACACTGGGCACCCACCACAGAGCAGGGCCAAGTCTATCTACTGCCAGAATGAGGCATCTCCAGGTTCACCGTACCAGTAGCTCTGCATGCAAGAACATGCAGGGGGAAAAAATTAAAAACACTTTTAAAAGTTTGTTCATTTATTTCTTCTATAACAGAAGAGAGAGAAAGCAGGAACTAGGCACCTCCAACAGTGTCTTCACATTATGATGATTCACTCCCAGTCCCAGACAGCTTGTATCATGGCACACATGCCCAGTGTGTTCTGGAAGGTCCAGGAATGAGAACACAGGACCTTTTCCCACATGGGTCTAAGTTGCATCACTATTGTACACATACATGGCCTCTAAAACACTTGAATAAAAATGTAGCTATGGGGACCAGCAGTTAGCATAATGGCTATGTCACTGGACTCCCATGTAGTCAACTGCAGTTCGAGTCCTGGATTCGGTGGCTTAAACTCACACCAGGCGCATGTTTATGCGTGCCCAAGATACAGAGAGAATGGAGAAGAAGGGATTGTGGCATGGCCATCCCCACGGGGGAGAGGGGTGGTATTTCTTACTTTCTGTCTCTCTGTCTCTCTCTCTCTTTCTGGTGAGCACATGCGCCTGATAGCAAAAACCTCTTAAAAAAATAGCTATGAGGGTAGGTGGGTGAGGAAGTGGTCAAGGGGCTGGACTCCCAGGTGGTCAACTACAGTTCGAGTCCCAGGCCGGCAGCTGGAAAGTCAGGCCAGGCACATATGCATATGTGATCAAAATCCCAGGAGGAGAATGGAGGAGAAGGGATGGTGGTGTCACCATCTCCCTGCCGAAGGGTGATCTCTCACTTTCTCTCTCTGACTCTCCAGTGAGTGCATGCACCCTACAACAAAAAAAAAATCTCAAAAAAATTACCTAAGAATATAAGCTACACAAATGAGTCTAAAACAGAAATGGGCCAACTTTCAAAACAGAAAAGTCTTCGTGCCATCCATGATGCTATCTGCTTTGGTGTCCTCAAATGGGACCAATCAGATGTCCTGAACCAACAATCTGAGAGCACTTAGCAGTTAACGCTCAGTGGAAAATTAATTGAGGCTGCTTCCTCTTTTGGTCTGGTCAAATGACCTCAAGTATATACAATATTGGGGAAAAGAGAAAACTAAGCGTGCAAGAAGAAACATGAAGGTGAGGGGGCTAGACCCTCAGAGACACTATTCTGAGCTACAGTTTGAGAGAAATGGAGACTCGTCCATGGCAGGCAATTCAGTTAGTTAGTTAGTCCCAGCATCTTGGGACTCAGGTACAGCTATGGTTGTCTTTGATGATGATAAAAACTAATCATGTGCTTTTCTTTGATGGGAAGGTAAAAAGCAGAAGGATAGAGGCAAGTCCAAGTATTCTGGGAGGCTGGGCCACATGATGAATTTGGGGGTATCAAGGGGATATTAAATCTCTAGAAATCAAGGCACTGGCAATAATGCTGTATTTGGCATCTGCTACACTCTGGGGAAAATACATATGAATTTAAAGATGATCCTTTTCTCTGAGGTAATAAAAGTCCCTAAACCCATTTGTCAACATCTCTCTGGCGCTACTGGATAGGTGCAGTACAGGGCTGGGACTAAAATGAGGTAACTGAAGTACCTAGGACGCAAAAGCATTTTGTTTTTAAGAGATTTTTGCTACAGTGCTTATTTGCTTACCAGAGAGAGACAGAGAGACAGAAAGCAAGAAATTACCCCCCAGGAGGGTTGGCCATGCCTCAATCCCCTCTCCTCCAGTCTCCTCTTGGAATTTGGAGCGCGAATGCACACACGACTGGGACCTGAACCATGGTCAACTATGTGGAAGTTCAGCAACGTAACCATTATGCCGTCTGCTGGTCCCCCCAGGATGCAAAATTGAAAGAGGCCCACTTGAGGCCAACAGGTGGTGTGGTGGTTAAGGCGCTAGACTCCCACATGGTCAATGGTGGTTTGAGTCCTAAACCTGGCAGCTTAAAAATCACATGAGGTACATGCGCATGCGTGCCCAAGATCCCAGGAGGAGAATGGAAGAGAAGGGACTGTGGTGTAGCCATCCCCCCTGGGGGTGATTTCCCACTTACCCTCTCAATGCCTCTCTTTGTCTCTCCCCAGTGAGTGCACGCGCCCTTTGGCAAAAATCTTAAAAATGTTTTTAAAAGTATCAAAATAGAAAAGTAGTAAATCATGGAACTGCCATGGGCCATGGTAAGTATCCACACAGAGGAACTCTCTTCTGCGTCATTGTCACCGCCATCGTAGTCATCAGCACCAACAGCAGCAGCAGCACTTGCAAATAGCGATGGAAGTTTTGCAGTCCAAGGTTCCTGCGGCCACCCAGTGACTCCCAAGCCTCCTCTAGCAGAAGAATGAAGAGAGGCGGTGGGCAGCTCAGACCCCAGCCCAGCTGCAAGGGCCTCTGTGCTCACAGCCCTCAGCCCAGGTCTGGGAAGCTCCTCAACACCTGCTACGGTCCTGCCAGGCCAGGGTAATGGATCTCTGAGTCAGGACAGTGTTTCTTTCAACCCGAAAGGATCAATTCCAAACACAGGAGCATAACAAATGTCAAACTTCACATGTAAACTTGATAACATCCCTGCTGGGAGAACACACTCTTTAAAAGACTAAAAGCCAAAATAGAGAGGGGTAAAGGTGGAGAAGTGAACTCCTTGAAGCTGCATCCATACATTCGTCACATTCTTCTAGGTGACGGTCTTAGCATGCCAGGCACTGTTTCCTTAGTGCTGTTCCCCAGACCCTTCCAGGGCTGGTTTCATGTCATACCAACAGAGAATCTAACAGGGCTAGAGAAATTCTGTCTCCAGAAACAGCCAGCTTCCAGTCCCAACAGTAATTGGAGGCTAAGAGCTTGTTGCAAATTTGCTTAATTGAGCAGTTGAAATCTTCATTGCCCCACTGAGGAACTGCTTTTAAGATCCAGCAAACAAGCCTCCAGTCCCTCCCATGCCTGGGTCTCACCTATTATTTTTCTCTGCCATCTATCTGCCTATCGAACCTACCTCTGGGATTATTGTCTTCCTCATTTATTTCTGTTTTAATTTTTTTTTAACACAGAGAAGAACAGCCCGTACTACAGAGGACAGAAGAACTGGGAGAAGCACACAGGCTGGATTGGGGGAAGTGGGGGACCTGCACAGTTTGTCATCAACAATGCACAAGGTCACTTCACAAGGACTGGGAGACATCAGAGACTTGGGGGGAACCACAGGCTTGCAAAACATGGGAAGCTTGGAAAAATTCAAAGCACTGCTCCACCCAGAGAAATAGAATATAAAAAGCAGCTATTTCATGACTGAAAAGCTCTGAAAGTTGTAATGATGGAGAGAAACCCAGAGGTAATAGCAGATAGAAAATTAGATATTGGTTTGCAGCATCGTGTTATGTTATTGTTTTGGGGGGAGGCTACTTTTTTTTTTTTTTTTTAATGGGAAAAGTCTACATATACCCTTGTTGGGAAAAAAAAACAGAAACAGAAACAGAAATAAAAAATAAACCACTCTCGTTGGCCGCTTCATTACCTCTGATGTACTCGGTGGTGAGGAACTGGAGGATGCCCAGAGAGAGAATGATGGTGGGGGCGGGGGGGGAGACAGAGACCGACTGACAGGAAACTAATAAGGAACTCAGCATACATGAAACATGGCTGTCTTGGCTCCTGAAGGTGGGTGAGCCGAGCATGGATATTTGTGACGTTTGAGTCACTTACAGAGATCCGCGTAGCCTCGAATGGGAGTGGTGTTTAAATCAGCCCTTACTGACTGCAATGAAGGAATTCGCTGTTTGGGTTGAAGAACACGCATCCCACTGGGACGCAGATAAGCTGGAGCTGTCATGGGCGCCATTCCCTTTGCCTGCAATGCCCTCTTCCCCTTAAACTTGGCATGGCTCACTCCTCCAATAATTCTGGCCTCAGTTTAGGAGTGATCTGCTCAGAAGGGACTTGACCGTCCTAAAAGAACACCCTGTCCTTTCACCTATAGGGCTCACCGGGGACCTATGTCCTTACGTGACTGATCTCACAGAGCAATATGGAATTATCTTCCTCACTGAGTTCTTTGCGTACTTAGCGTCTGACTCTCCTGCTAGGATGTCTGCCTCACAAGAACAGAGGTCTTGTCAATCATTTCCATCACCAGATCCTCAAAGTGAATCATTCCATTAAGAACTTATGTGCAAGCCAGGCACGTGTGCATGCGTGCCCAAGATCCTGAGAGGAGAATGGAGGAGAAGGGATTGTGGCATGGCCATCCCCCCTGGGGGGTGATTTCTCACTTTCTGTCTCTCTGTCTCTCTCTGCCTTTTTGGCAAGCGCACGCACCCTATAGCAAAAACCTCTCAAAACAAAAAAAAATAAAAAAAGAACTTATGTTCAAAAGGCAGGTAAATTATGACAAGTATGCTCCTTTATTGTTTCTTTAATTTTAGGTTTTTGCCATAGGCCACATGTGCTCACCAGAGAGAGACAGAAAGGGAAAGTGAAAAATCATCCTCTCAGGGGGGATGGTCATGCCACAATCCCTTCTCCTCCTGGGGTTTTGGGCATGCATGCACACATACTCTGTGATTTTCAAGTTTCCAGGTCCGGGACTCGAACCATGTCAGCCATGTGGGAATCTAGCACCATACCACCATGTCACCTGTACATGCACTCTTCAAAGAACATGATATTTCTACATTAACTTACTTAGTCCACACTACCTTCAAGATTTTATTATTTCCACTTTTTGGAAGGCAATAGAAAGACGGCACCTGAGGTTCAGAGAGGTTGAATAAACTCTCCAAAGCTTCACAGCTGTTGGCATCGGGGCTAGGATTTGAACCCAGGCAGTCTAGCTTTAGAGTCAATGTTCTTCACCATCCCACATACTACACCTTGGATAATACGTACTCAATGAATAGATATTAAATAAGTGAACGAATTAATGATGAGGGAGTGAATTAGACGATGCAGATTGGAACCTTGAGCCTCTGCAGTCAGGCCAAGGTACTGCTTTTCCCAGCTGTGTTCAGCATGACTTCTAAATGACAGCCTTCAATGACCATCCAGATGGGAGCCAACTGCACAGGGAACCCTGCTGCTTACCTGAGAGGTGCTGTAGAGAATCTCCATTCCTTGGGCTGCCCGGAAGGCCTCCCTGCCCGACCGGAGGATGGCAATGTGCTTGAGGCAGAGCAGAAGTCCCCGGCGGATGAATACATAGCTGTTGGCTGTGTCGTGCCCATGCCAGTCCTGGTGTAGCCTGAGCAAAGTCGTGACGTAGCCTCTGTTCACCGCCCTGCGGCTGTTAGACTCTGACAACAAAGAGGAAGGGTTCAGGGTCAGGGCTGCCTCAGATTGTCCCCATACAATTCCCACAAGATACTCACTGACTAAAAGGTAAATCATAGTAACATTTCAGTATAGAAAACCAGCAGTCGGGCCAGCAGGTGGCATGGTGGTTAAGGTGGTGGACTCTCACATGGCTGACCACAGTTTGAGTCCTGGACCTGATGGCTTACTTTGTCACTTTCCCCCTCTCGCTTTCTGTTTCTCTCTGTGAGTGCATGTGCCCTAACAAAAATTTTAAAATAATAATTCTTTTTAAAAGAAAGAATGAAAACTAGCAGCAACAAATGCCACTTAACCAATGACCAAAGTCAACATCACCAGTAACAGGACAGTCAGTCTTGGAGCCCCTGAGATGATGCACTGAGACAGACGCAGCATCCCTTGGGATCCCAGGTAAAATGTTTCATCTGAATTTAATCAGAAGGAAAATCAGCAAAACAGAAATGAAGGACATGCTACAAAGTATCCCACCTGCGCTCTTCAAAAAGGCCAAGATCACTAAAGGAAAACAAAAAATAAAAACCAAAAGAAAACTGAGAAGTTGAGGCAAAGAGAGACTGAAAGACGTTAACACTTACTATTTCATTATAATTTAGATCTTGAGCCAGAAAACAATTTCTCCTTTTGCTTTAAAAAGCATTAGTGGGATGGGCCAGCAGGTGGCATGGTGGTTAAGGCACTAGACTCCCATATGGCCAAATGTGGTTCAAGTCCCAGATCTGGCAGCTTGAAAATCATTCTGCCCCAAATCCTAGGAGGTTAATGGAAAAGAAGGGATTGTGGTGGGTGGTCATCCCCCTTGGGAGCTGATTTCTCACTTTCCCTCTCACTATTTCCATCTCTTCTTGGCAAGCACACACACTCTAAGGAAGGCCAAAGTCTTTTAAAAAAAAACTTAATGGGCAATTAGTACCTATAAATTAGCTAGTAGTATTATAGCAATGGTTATTTTTAGATTTTGATAAACTGATTATGTAAGAGAATATCCTGGGCTGACCTTATACTGCACTGGTTAAGTGCTATGCCTTGGGAACTGGATACCACATGGCTGATTATAGTTCAAATCCTGCCCCTAGCAGCTTGGAAAACACACCGGGTGCATGTGTGTGTGTGCACCCCAAATATTGATGGAATAAAGAGAAGAAGGAAAAAGGACTGCAGTGTGAGTATACCCCGAAGGGGTGAGAAAGCTTTCCTTTTCTCTCTCTTTTTCTCTGGAGAGCACACATGCGCTCTGATTACAAGAGAGTCTTTTTAATATAATGATTTAAGTCATTTAAAAAGAGAATATGCTTGCTTTGGGGAAATTCACAACTGGAGTATATGAATGTCTATAACTTATTCCCAGAAAAAAAAAAAATTAGGGATCAAGAGAGCATAAGAAAGAGGTTTCTGTATGATTTTCATTCTTCTATCCTGAATTTGAGGGGATCTGGGATGTTGTCATTTTAGTTGAGTAAACTATAAAGTTAGCTGAGGATGGAAAAGACATAACATCTGAAAGACCGTCATGTGTAAGAGGTATCTTTCTTGGGGCCAGCAGGTGGCATGGTGGTTAAGGTGCTAGACTCCTACACAGCCGACAGCTGGTGGTTAAGGTGCTAGACTCCTACATAGCCGACAGTTGTTCCATTCCTGGACCTGGTGGCTTACTTTCTCACTTTCCCTTTCTCTCTCTTGCTGTCTTTCTCTGGTCAAGTTAAAAATAATATGATAAATAAAATAACTGTCTTTCTCTGGTCAAGTTAAAAATAATAACGATAAATAAAATAAATCTTTTTTTAAAAAGAGAGAGATGTCTTTCCTAAAGGGAATGGAAGCACACTTATGGATAATCAAGGAGTCATGAATTTGTTTAATAGAGGTGCTGCTTTGGCATCTACTTTTAGGCTTAACTTGCCTGAACCCCAGTCTCCTTTGACCTAGGTTAAGTCCTTTTCTCCCTCTGTGGTTGTTTATAACATGGCTTGCTTGTTCCTCATCCCACTGACCCAAACCCCAGCACATCTCACAAGCACCGACCATGCTAAAACCTAGTGGTCTACATCAGAGTCATTTAAGTAAGATCCCCTCTTCAGACATGGTTCCTTGAGAGCAGCCATCTTGGCTTATGTCTACTCTCAAGAGAAAGAGCAAGCTCAAAACTGAATCAGAAAAGAACTTGCCACACAAGAGTTTGGCTCTTCAGCTCAGGAAAGGAACCCTCATGGCTAGTCAGTAAGAGGATGGACTCTTTTATTTATTTATTTATTTATTGGAGAGGTTTTTTGCTACAGGGCGCTTGCGCTCGACAGAAAGACAGAAAGAGACAGAGAGATAGAAAGCGAGAAATCACCCTCCCCCGGGGGATGGCCACGCCGCAATCCCTTCTCCATTCTCCTCTTGGGATCTTGGGCACGCACGCGAACGTGCCCAGTGTGAGTTTAAGCCACCGGGTCTGGGACTCGAACCGCAGTCAACTACATGGGAGTCCAGTGACATAGCCATTATGCTAACTGCTGGTCCCAGAGGATGGACTCTTCATGGTAGGGAGCAACTGGTTACTGAGAAAGTTCAGGTCAGGTCGAGCAGGGATGCTGTTGGGCCTTTCTTACCCCTGACGGGCGGTTGTAATAGAGGGCCTTTATGGTTCCCTTTACCTCTTCAACACCACAAATCTCTCTGTTGGTTCAGTATTCCTGGTCAAGATCTTCTTCAAAGCCTCCCTTATGGATCTAATTTTCTCAAACCATTGTTTAAATTTTCTTTGAAGAAACACAGGACAGAAACCAGTAGGCAGCTTAGTGGTTAAGGTGCTGGACTCCTACATGGCTAAATGTAGTTCATGTCCCAGACCTGACAGTTTGAAAATCATTCTGGGCACATGTGCATGTGTGCCCAAAATCCAGAGAGAGGAGATGGGATGAGAAGGAATTGCAGCATGGCCAATCCTCCCGAGGGTGATTTCTCACTAACCCCCTCTCTCTCTCTGTGTCTCTCTGTCTCTCTCTCTCTGATGAGTATATGTATCCTATGGCAAAAAAATTTTAAAACACACACATACAGGGTGAAGAACATTCCGAAATACTTCTCTCAAGAGCCAATGTATACTACCTTTCAGATCAAGCTCCCTGGGCTAAATGGTAGGGGTATGAACACAAGCTACCACCCAGCAATTGCCTGTCCATCTCGGCTCCTATGAAGCAGCATCACGGCAGGGCTCCACCCAGGTGATTCAGCCCCAGAGCCCACAACTGGCAGCTCTTCTTCCCCAATACCCTATTCCTCCACTCCCTAAACCAGTCACACTGGTTTACGAGACAATATGTGCTCTGGCCAAGTGTGCGCAAGAGAGATTCCCTGAGCTGTAATCAGACAACCAAGACTGAACTCGAAGTCACATTTTTCCCTCAGTCCGTGTAAGTCCCCACTAGTGCAAAAAATAACATGGAAATTCAATGCTTTATTCCAGAGGGCTTTCCTTATAATACGAATGGAACTTTTTCTTTTTTGTCCCCCCTGTTTGTCAGATTCTAAATTGTCAAGGTTGACTAAGCCCCACTGAGAATTTTGACCCGTTTGCACAGTTGGCTTTATTTATTTTTTTCTTTTTACAACATTTCACTCAACCGTGACCCTGAACTGAGTGATGAGGTGTATTCACTCTGCGATGTTTGTAGAAGGTTTAAATCGCCTTCATTACTTCCTTTAATGAATTGTTCTTTTGTATCAAAAATATTTCTCTCCTTGGCTGGTCCAGACCACAAAGCAGTAGAGTTCTTTATGCCTAAATGAAGTTCCATCCTATCCAATGTCTGATGTTTAAAAGAAAATTGAGGATTTAGCAGAAGGTATTAAAGCAAAGTATGACCAACTAAAAAGATAGCAGAATAGCAAATACAGTATCCAGGGACTCTGTGGGCAAAGAAAGTAAAGATTTTGTCTTTTATCTATTTTAAGGGTGTAAGATTGATAATGTGCTGTCCTGATGACCTTCATCCATTACTCTTTCTTAAGGGGAAAAGGGATAATGGAAAAAATCTTCAATTGTCTGAGAGAAAAATCCCTTACCAAATCCCAATGATTTTATTCATGATTTGCTGTTAATCCTCCACAAGCTGTCATGTTTACTAACATCTGAAACAGCTAAACCACCTCCTCCCCAATCCCCTCGTCGACCCTACGTCAGTCAATCAATCTCTGAAAATGGCTTGAGAAGTTTTGCAAAAGTCAATACATAGCTCAACCCCGACAAGAGGAGATTCATCAAACTGAGGAAGAGAAAATGTGAAGAAGAGCCAAAGAATGAAATGAGGGTCATAGGGAGCAGCAACTTCGAGGAGCTTTGGAAGATATGACAAGAAAATACTGCTTCTCAGAGTGAGGACAAATATCAAAAAATGTGGGGTTTCCAAGACTGTTCTAAGGGAGCTCAGAGTCTGAGGGTAGGGGCAGGAGGGGAATGCCAGGAACCAATTCTCTTCAGAACAGCCCAGATCCATTTTTGTATGTTTACATAAATAACCTCTTAAGATTTTCTTGGAAAAAAAAACATGTCCTGGTGTCTAACTTTTAAAAATGTTTAAGTAGATTGGTATCCGCTTTTTTTTTTTTTTTTTTTTTAAGAGATTGTTGCTATAGGGCACATGAACTTGGCTGGAGACACAGAAAGAGACCTAAAGTGAGATATTATCCCCAGGGCGGATGGCCACACCACAATCCCTCCTTCTCCTCCATTCTCCTCTGGAGATTTTGGGCACACATGCACACATGTCTGACATGAGTTTCAAGCCGCTGGGTCCAGGACTTGAACTGTGGTCAGTTATGTAGAACTCCAGTGCCTTAAATGCTATATCACCTGCTGGGCCCAGTAAATTGGTATTTCTTAAAACTGGTTGGAGTGGGGGGCCATCCCTTTTCCAACCCTTCCAGCCTGCCAGGATCATGGATTTACCTGCAGTCACATTTGGCATGTGCAGGCTGA